CTGGTCTACAAAGAACAGCCAGGGCTGTTACACAGAGAAATCTGTCTCAGAGAACAACGAAACAAACAAACCCAGCAGGGATTTGATTCCCAGTACCCATAGTCACAACTGCCTGTGACTCCAATTCCAGGAGACCTGGTGTCCTCTTCTGATATCCGGGGACTCTGTGCACATGTGGTGCACACACACACACACACACGCACACGCACACACGCACACGCGCACATGCACACGCACACGCACACACACACCAGACATGGGAATACACACTGTTAGCCCCAGCACTGGGGAAGCAGAGGTTTGCAGATCTCTGTTGAGTTCAAATCCAACTTGGTCTACACAGTGAGTTCCAGGTTAGTCAGGGCTAAATAGTGAAACCCTGTCTCAAATAAATAAATAAATAAATTGTTTGGGGAGGGGTGGGATGCAAAGCAATAGCATATAAAAAGTAAAAACAAATTTCTTCTGTTCTTCTGATGGGACCCTAACATAAAATATAGCCATCTGTTTGTAGGAAATACCCACACTGTTATCTAAAGTGTTTGCACTTACTGAAACTCCAATTAGTACAGTAAAAGAGCCAGTTACTTCACATCCTCACCAATAGAAAAACTGGCAACTATTTCTTGGAAACACTGCACGGTACAAGCTAACAAAGGAAGACCACCAGTTCTCGGTGTTTGCCTCTGCTATGAGCCAGCCGTGCCCCTTTTTTGGAACAATGTCATAATATCCAGACTACAGATATATTCATTTCTTTTGTTTGAGGCACAGTCTCTCCCTAGCTAGCCTGAGGCTTGCTATATAGACCAGGCTGGTCTCCAATTTGTGGAGAATCATTATGCCTCTGGCTCCAGAGTGCTAGTATTATAGGCATATGCTACCACACCCAGCATATAACACTCTCTAACCTAGAAACCCCAATTATAAAATTTGTCATCCAGATAACTCCTTGCGCAATGCTGTTATTAGGGTGTGAGCCTACTAATTGCTGCATTACTATTATTAATAATAAAATAGGAAATAAGTATCCAAGTATAGGATGATTAAACAAAAGTTTCCAAAAGAGGAAATTTTCAGCACAGCAGCATGGAAGAATCTTGTATCAGTCAAAGTTCTCCAGAAAAGCAGAACTGTTTGAAACCAGCACAAAAGCAGAACTGAAAGAAAGAGACTGAGTGATTGCTTTGGTATAAGGAGTTGGCTCACAAAAATGACGGTGGCTGGTGAGTCCCCTGGTCAGCAGGGTGACTTGGTAGAGGTACAGGAAGGTAAATTATTCATTCGGTTCCCATGCAGATTCTGAGGCTTGAAAACTAGGAGAGCTGATGGGGTAGCTCTGGTACAAAGGCCATTAGGCTTAGGCTCAAGACTCAGCAAGAGCCAATGTTTCTGCCTGAGTTCGAAGAGAAGGTTGGGTGGGGCTGAGCTGCCAGTTCAAAAGTCATCAGACTATAAGAATTCTCTCATACCTAAGGGACGATTAGCTGTTGTGGTCTACTCAGTCTTCCCACTGATTGGATGAGGCCAGCCTACCCACAGAAGATAGGGCAATCTGATTCACTCCTCTACTGATGTCCCAGAACACTCCCACAGAACACTTAGAACAACACTGATTAAGTGACTGGATGCCCTGTGGCCCAGTTAAATTTGTTCATAAAATGAATCCTCACAGATCTACATGAGGTACAGAACACAGAATGCAACACATTTCCCTGTGTGTAAAGAAGAAGAAACATAAGACAACAAATGCACTAAGTATCTAAGACCTGCTACTGTCTCACCCACTGCTAGGCCTATAGGTGTGACTGGTGCATGCCTACAATCCCAGCACTCAGGAAGCTGATGCACAGGAATTTAAGTTGAAGACTGCTTAGAGAGACCCCATCTCAAAAAAGTAAGAATATTCTGGAAGGATGTCCAGGTGTCCTTTTACGTGTGTGTGTGTGTGTGTGTGTGTGTGTGTGTGTGTGTGTGTGTGTGGTGTGTTTAAATCATGGGTATGCTTAATCTATTCAAAACATTAAGTAAGAATTTTTAGATGCCATTTACATGCTTTCCGTCTACAGGAATGTCAGTCTTTTTTAGCTTATCTTTTTGTTTGTTTTTTGTTTTGTTTGTTTGTTTTTTCAAGACAGGGTTTCTCTGTGTAGCCCTACTTGTCCTGGAACTGCTCCATAGACCAGGCTGGCTTCCAACTCACGGAGAAATGCCTGCCCTGCCTCCCAAGTACTGGGATTAAAGGCTTGTGCCACCAATGCTTGTCCTACTCATCTTTAAACATTTGGGAAATTATGGAATGAATAAACTGGAGGGAATCAGAATTTATGAGTTTAGAGAATAACCTGTGAGAGTAAGTTCTCCCTTCTACCATGTGGGTCCAAGGCATTGAACTCAAGGTGCCTTTACCTGATGAGCCATTTCACCAGACGATTTTAATTTGTTGTTAGATTTTTGTTTGGTTCCCAGTTAGTGGGACTGTTTGGGAAGGATCAGGAAGTGTGGCCTTGCTGGAGTGGGTGTGATCTTGCAGGAATGGATGTGGTCTTGTTGGAGGAGGTGTGGCCTTTCATTGAGGTGGGCTTTGAGGTTTCAAAAGTCATTTTTTTTTTATTTTTCGAGACAGGGTTTCTCTGTGGCTTTGGAGGCTGTCCTGGAACTTGCTTGGTAGTCCAGGCTGGTCTCGAACTCAGAGAGATCCACCTGCCTCTGCCTCCCGAGTGCTGGGATTAAAGGTGTGTGCCACCAACGCCCGGCTCAAAAGTCATTATTAAAGCCAGTCTTGCTCTCTCTTTTCCTACAACTTGCAGATTACGTGAGATCCCAGCTACTGTTCCAGCACCATGCCTTCCTGACCCCAAGATCCCCGCCACGATGATCATGCCACCTTCTAAACCTGTAAGGAAGCCCCAACTACATGCTTTCTTTTCAAAGTTGCCTTGGTCATGGTGTCTCCTCATAACAACTAAGAGAATTCCTAATTCCCAATCTTTTCTTTTTGAGACAGGTCTATGGATTTACTGTGTGGCCAAGGATAATACTGAATTTTCAATCCTTATGTCTCTGTCTCCCAAGTGCTGAGATTACAAGTATTGGCAACCACACCTTGTACTAGGTAAACGTTCTACCAACTGAGATACAGTCCCCAGCACATTCTTAATATCATTCAGTCATTGATTCCATAAATAATTCACACATATAAACCCACCACCTGCCCCCAAGTTACATTGCAAATAATGTAAACTGAGTTTCTTTCATATTTCTCCAACCTCCTCTCAAAGGGAACTACCACTGCCCTCAATTTTGTTCCTTCATTACCACAAAAGGAAAAATAGCCAGTTGTGGTAGCACATGCCAGTAGGATTTGCTGAGAGAGGCAGAGGCAGGAAGATCACAAAAGGAAAAACAACTCCAACAATTCTTCCTGATGTGGATGCCAGTAAATAACCCTTCCCTAAATGTGGACTGGACCCCATAATGTGCTTCTGATAAGCAGAATATGGCAAATGTGTTGGGATATCACTTCTATGATTACATTACATGAGATGATTATAATTTCCATCTTGCTACCCACTCTTTTAAAAATTATTTCTGATGATGTATATGTGTGAGTATGCACCTATGTGCAGATACCCTCAGAGGCCACAGGTTATCAGATCCCCCTGGAACTGGGGTTACAGGCAGTTGTGAGTCCTAGTCCTCTTAACTACCTAACCTTAGCTCCAGTCCTTTAATTTTTGGGGGGAGAGTTTTTTTGAGACAGAGTTTCTCTATGTAACAGCCCTGGCTATCCTGGAACTCACTCTGTAGACCAGGCTGTCCTTGAACACACACAAAGATCAGCCTGCCTCTGCCTCCCAAGTGCTGGGATTAAAGGAGTGTGCCACCACTGCCTGGCTAGTTTTTTTTAATCAAGGGACTGATCTGTTAACAGAGTGTGCCTCCTTCCCCAGTTCAGCTTAAGCCTGAGGGTGAGGTCACAGTTCTAGCTGACACCTCAACCTTAACCTTGTAAGCATCCTGGAAGCTGAAGATCCGGCTGAGCCATGCTCAGATTTGACCCTCAAAAAGAATAAAAAAGAATAATTAATTAATTAAATAGAAAGACAAATCATGTGTTGACTCGAGCCTTTGCATTGGTAGTAATTTGTTACACAGTAATAACAATAGGTAACCGGCACAAGTTCCTTTTAATTCTTTTTCTTTTTACATTTATTTTAAGCTCATATATGTTTGTGCACCACATGTGGGCCTGGTGCTATGGAGGTCAGAAGAGGGTGTTGGGGCCCCAGGAACTGGAGTGATGAAGGAAGTGAATGGTCATGTGGGTGCTGGGAATGTCCTGGCTCCTCTGCAAGAACAACAAATGCTCTAATGGCTGAGCCCATCTCCCGACCCATCGTTTCAGCTCTGTATGACTGTTGTAGTGTGTGTGTCTCCCAGAACATAGGGCCCAAGAGTTTCTCCCATGAAATATGCTGAATTATACCTATGAATGGAATGGCCAGACCTCGGGATTTACAAATGTCAGCGTTATTGTCGGTCAGCTAATCATTAGAGTGAAGGTCTTACCATGATCAGAGTATCTTGGTCAGGGTTTCAAGTGACATGTAGCCACCATCCATAGGATTGAGATCAGTGTGTGGACAGGGTTGAGAGTCATACAGAAAGCTTAAAGAGACAGAGAGAGTCCATGGGCAAGGGTGGGAACCTGAGTGGCCACAAACTGGTGAAAATCTGCAGCTTGGATTTGGACAAAGTTGGAGGATACTGGAGGGAGGCTGGAGGTGGAGTGGGGTCACCCAGTGCTAGAAGTAGGCTGTCACACTTTACAAAACCTGCCCACTGACAGTACCATCAATCTAATAAGCAGTGGGACCCATAACATGAGATCCACAGGGTCTTTATGAGGACAGCTAGGTGAAAGGGATAAAGGACATGGCAGGAACTCGCTGCCTTTGGGGACCATCCAGGCAGAAAGAAAAGGCAGGCACAGGGAAGAACACACAACACCACCTTTAATAGACAACTCTGCCCTGTCTTCCCAGACACTCCATTCGAGAAGGGTTATTGAGCAGCTGGATGCCTCTTATTCCTGGCTTCTTCATTCAACACTTTATCCCTTCCTCTCCAGCTGCTGCGGTCTCCAACCCTGAGATGGGTCCCATGTAAGCGCCCAGGAGGGGCAAGAGAATCCCTCAGCTTCCGGGGGTAGCTTCTCGAGTGTCCAAGGCCATGGAGAATTAGCATGGAGGGAGTCCGGGCTATCCTCTAAGCTGAGAAGGGAACCAGAGGACCGCCTCTCCAGGCCCAGCGCTGGGAGCCTCAAAGTGGACACGGTTTGGGAAGTCATGCCGCGTGTCCGTACAGCTTTTCTGGGCTGTGGAAAGTGGTCTCTTCTCCTGGCCCGAATGGAGTACAAGGAGGAGGATCAATCCCAGGCCTCGGCTTTGAGCATCCCCAAATTCGCCCGAACCCTCCGCAGCCGGGCGCCGCAGCTGCAGGGGGCGCGAGTGAGCAGCTCGCTCCGCCCTCCCAATTCTGCCTTGGCAGGTGAGTGGGTAAGTCGCGGCTTCGGGGCTCCGGCGGGTACTGGGAAGCCCCGCAGCCCAGGCACCGCTCACCGCTGCTTGCGCTCCGCCTGCTGGAGCCTCCGGGACAAGTCATCGATGCGCACGTTCTTGAGTTGGAGCAGGTGTTCCAGACGCTTCACCTTCATCTGCAGGACCTGAGTGGGGACGCAGAGACATCAAGTCTGAAGGCCTGTTGCCCTGCCGGTGTTTTGGTGTTTTGCCCCTGCAGACCTCAAGCTGCCCTTAGGCCTCAATGTCCCCACCTCACCTGCACCGTCTCTTGAGAGGCCAACAGCTCCTGCTCCTTTTCAGCGATCTGAAGGACGAAGCTTGGATCGCCCTGCAGCGCCTGGTTATACCCAGGGGGTCGAGGCGCCTGCGGTCGGCTCCCTCTGCAGTGGGTAGGAACTTAGCAGAGGCCTGGACGTCACCGCCCCCCTCATTCCCATATCCTGTGACCAGGCCTGCCCTTTTCTCCTTCTCACTACCTTCCCAATGACCAAGACACTGCCACACTAGTCTGTGTGGACAAGCTGCTAAGCCTGGTGAAGTCAGAACTCTTAACTTTACCTGAGCTGTTCTCCTCCCAGGGCTGGGGCACCGTCTCCTCGAGCCTTCTGGGACAAACCTAAGACAAAGTGCGTAGAGGAGTAACCTCGCTGGAGACCCATTATCCTGTCTCCCTCTGACCCTAAAATTAAAGGGACACGGGGAAAAGCTTTCCTGAGATAAGAGAAAGCCACCTTACCCATATCCATGTAGCCACTGCCATCCTGAGCAGCCAGCTCCTGAAAGAACAGATGTGATCTCCTGTGAGCCTGGGCTCATCTATCTCCTTTCCACTATCCTGTATGCCAAGTTCGCTTAGCCCGGCACCCCTGTCTTCCTATTCATCTCCACTGTCTGGGGGTACCCCTTGTGCCCCAATCAGTAGGCTCAAGCAGCACCACCTGTAAGGAGCCAGCACCCAGCTTCTGGCGCCTCTGCCGCTCCTCCAGGCGCTGCCTCAGCGGAATGAGCACCAGCTCCACCACACCGGGAGAACACTGCGCAATCTTCCGCATCACATCATCGGGGACGGAGAAGTTTAGCTTGTTCAGCACCTTTCTATGGAGTGAATGCAAGAAGGTGGAATGGATCTTGGGGAAATGGAAGGATGGCAATGGGAAAGAAGGGGACATAGCCCCGGGAACTGGAAGGACAGACTCAGAACCTCCTCTGCTTGAGGTTCCAGTTTCTTTGTTTCCCATCCCAACACAATCATTAATTGATTTTATTACTAAATGAATTCTGGTGTGTTGTCCCCCCCCAGCAGTCTCAGTCTGTCAAGACCATAAGGAAGGTTTCTGTTGTTGTTTTGCTTTTTTGTCTTATTTTGCATTTAGGGTCTCTCTCTCTCTCTCTCTCTCTCTCTCTCTCTCTCTCTCTCTCTCTCTCTCTCTCTCTCTCTCTCTCTCTCTCTCTCTCTCTCTCTCTCCCCTCTCTTTCTGCAGAGTTTACTTCCCTTCGTACCCAGGGATTCCACTACCTGTTCAGGTGACCCCAGTTGCTGAGCTTCTGCTGGAGAGAGTTGGCAGGGACATAATTGTGCATCTCCACCATCTTGGGGAAGTAAAACTTGATAAGCTCTGCAACCAGGACTGAGGGAGTCGGGTTGGGAACAGACAAGAAAGGCAGGGGTGTGAGTCAAGAAGTACGGGTGGAGATACAGAAGAAAGGAAGGTTGATAGAAAGGAGACAAAGAAAGCAAGCTCAGTGATCAAATCAAGATCCTACATTTCAAAGAGAAACAGCATCTTCCTTTTTAGCTCAGGGCACAGAAAAACCGAGTGTCTCCAAGGGGGCCCTACAGGAGTCTGCAGCCTTATCCTAGGAATTCACAAGGACAGGGGTGTACACAGAGAGAGAGAGAGTCTCAGGAGAATCACAGATTTACATAAGCAGAAAAACAAGATCCTTCTACTGTGCTAGTAGAGCACATTTGGCAGCACGCTTGCTCTGGACCCCCAACACCACATAAACAAGCTGTGGTAGTACATGTCTGTCATCCCATCACACGGAAGGCAGGAAAACAGTGAGTTCTGGGCTACATAGCAACCCTGTGTCTCAAAAACATCCCTCTGCAGGTGTATACACGACAGAATGTACAGACACGCAGAACAAACAAATGCCAGACACACATGGTGCGCACACAGAATACATATAAACATAGAAATCACATATACACATAGCCTCCTCAATTATACACATAGAAATGCCTACAGAACTATGCATTTCTTAAATACAGGAGCCTTTCCTGAAAAAAAGAAAAGCATGCAATCACACACACATACACACACACACCACAAGACTGCAAAGCATTGGTTCACAAATATATACCCAGACACACAGCTTAGTCCTTAAAGCCCCTGAAGGGAGACACAAAGACACATTCTATGCACACAAGGTATAATGGTCATACGTTGTTCACACAGGAACAGAAGAAACATGAAAGCGCACATTTTCACAATCAAGTTCCAAAACACAGATTTCCACCCTTCCCCCTTTCTACATACACACATAACAAAAATGTTAGCATACACACAAATCCACTACAGATACATAAAGACAGTACATTTTAAAGCACACAACAACGCACACCTCCGTCACTGAAGTCCCGGGAGAGGTTTCTCTTGGGTCGGGACAGAGGGATGTTGTCTATCCACAGGTACAACTGGTGCAGAGCCTCCTCATCCACGCTGCTTGCCATTGGCTCCTGGGCAAGGCCTCTCGTCCCCGCAGAACCCAACGCCCTCGCCAGGACCCTTCAAGTGCCTCCTTTCGCCACTGAGAGCGTTCAGATCTACATTTACTTCCCTACTCCGCACAGACTCAAAGCCCATCTGGGAGCAGCCATATTGTTTTCCGAAACCATAGTAACCGTCGCTACTTGCCTCGAAACAGAGACTTCTGGGAGTTGTAGTTTTTCCCTATTACCTTCCTCCTGGGCCCAGCTTTGAAAGGGCAATAGCTGTATTTATCTTCCTTTCTCCCCAAGAAGGTATCACCTGTCTGCCCACATCACTTGCTGACCAATCATTGACCCATTCTAGGCTTTGCCAAAACCAGCTATGTCTCCTTCTGTCCTAAAGAAAGCAGCATCTCCACACATGTCAGCATTGGGGTAGGGAGGGGCACTCTGCTAATCTGACACCTACAGACGATGTATGATAAGTTGTCTATTTTTAAATTATTTTATTTTGTATGTGTATGGGTGTTTTACCTGCGTGCAATATCTGCGTACCATGTGTGTTCCTGGTGCCTGCAGAGGGCAGGTGTTGGATCCCCTGTAACTGGAGTTACAGATAGTTGTGAGCTGCTGTGCGGGTCCTGGGTTCAAACCTGGGTCCTCTGGAAGCACAACCAGTGCTCTTAACCACTAAAACATCTCTCCTGCCCCTAAACTGTTTAGTAGTGCTTCCTCACTACTCCCTCTCCAAAGCTCTATAGACCTGGGGTCATTGCCATTTCCTCACCCCAGCAATGTATCCTACTGGGGTGCTTAATACATAACCTAGATCCCCAGGGAGAGCACTGACAAGGTCATTTCATTCCTTAACTCTATATCCTCCTTTGTAATACAGAAACAGTTTTCATCTACTTTCCCCAATGGTATACTTGGAAAGAAATGTACAACTTGGAAAAAAAAGTCTAAGCAGCCTGTATTTATACTGGGATGGGGATTACAGCCAGCTGTATACATGAAAGCAAGAGCTTCTGCAGTCATATCCCTCATCTCCCTCCAAAGGGCTCTTCTACGATGGACTGGGAACTGATTTCTGCAACCTGGAGGGGTAGGAACACAGGTTCCTCCTTAATGAAGGAATACAAAGTACTTCTAGAGACTGCCTCAGGAGAAGGTTTGCGCCCAACAGACTAACGATGTGGCTTTGGGCACATTACCGCACCTCCTCTCTGCCTGTGTGTTGTGGGTTTTGTTACTCATAAGGGCATCTGAGTGTTTGACACCTAGCACAAAGGGTCCTACCAGCATCAGCTTGTGTTAAACTCGGGCACCTGTAGAAGAGGTTCTTACTGGCAGGAGACAGATCAAAGTGATTTGCCTTGGTACTTGAGGTAAAGAATCCCAACTATCCAGGGGCATCTAGAGAAAAGGCCACTTCTCCCTCAACTTTCTCCAGAGCAGGCCCAGTGGGTAGGCTAGGCTTTCTGGTCTCCTCTTCCAAAGTTCCACTTAGAGGAAGGGGTGATGCCATATGGAATCCTAACTCCTTTGCTTGACTTTATTACAAAACTTTCAAGGGGGAAGTGTGGCTCAGCAGTGAGGCTCTTGCCTAGGTTGCTATAGGCCCTGGGTTCAGCACTAACAGAAACAAAATTTGCATTAAAAAAAAAACTAAAACAGCAACTAATTTTCAAGACTTGCAGAGGATCCCCTAGTGTCAGAAATACAAAAGGCCCAAACATTTATGGCCAGCCTTTTGGGAGGGAACCACACCCAGGGCAAACAAGGCACAAAGGATGACTTGGCCATCCCCACCCCTTACATTCCAGTGTAGGGAGAACTTGATGGCTGGGGTATGTTGGGGATTGGGAAATTACCAGAGGTAATATGCCAGCCCTAAGAAAGGTGGGAAAACCGGTTTGGGACTCAGAATTACCTACCCTGCTCAGGTCTTCCCTGGGCTGGAACCTGTGGGCCCCAGTAAGGGAGAGCCACGAGGGAGCGGCTGGGCTGAAAGGAGGGCATGCCCTCACCTTTGGACTGGAGTGAGCTACCAATTCATGGGGTGTCCAACGTTTCCTAGTAACTTCACCTTTAATCTGTCACTGTCCTCAAAGGCGACTAACAGACTTGAAAATGCCAATCTCTCGGACAGCCTGAAGAACTTCCTCTTAAGGTAAAGCAAGTGTGCCTTGTATGCTCCTCCAACTCCATCCTGGCCCTTAGCAGTTGCAAAGCTTTTCTCATTCCCTCTCTGCTCCTTCAAGGACTTTCTTTAACTAGCTTCGGTGGGCTGTCATCAGGTGCATGTTGTCTGATCTGCCAACAGACTGCTGGCTCCCCCTCTACTGCCCCACTCCAGTGACCCAAGCTTCTCATTAACATCTAAGAATTTAAGGCTAGGGTTCCTGGAGTCTACCATTAAAGACCTTCCCTCCCCAGAATTCTCTAACATTTAGATGTGTCACTGCCTGCCACCCCAGCCATGGCCATCTGCTCAAAACTTGCTTCCATGTCCCACTACAGCAAGAACCAAGGGGAACCTGGAAAGGACATGTCCCCCAAGATAGACGCAAGCCCAGCCCATGAAGGATGCATCCTTGGCTGTTAAAACATTCACTCCCACAAAAGGGGAGTGGACAGATTTATTGAATTCAAACTGGGAAGGGAGTACCTGGACGACTGGACTCTGGGCCCAGCCCCAGGCCCCTCTGCCCAGGATGGGGGCCTGCAGAGGATGAGGCACAAGGCCTGCAGCTGCCCAGATTGGAAGTGCCTGCTGTCACTCCCCAAGAGGGCCTCTTGGAAACCTCCAATCTGGAAAGAAAACCAAGGGCCAAAGACTGGGCCAGAGAAAGGGATTTAGGAAGGCGGCAAGCAGGCAGAGGCGGGCTCAGGAGCCTGCTCCAAGTTACACTGTGCTTCTTTAGGCAGCCTAGAGGTGCAGGAGGGGGGCTGCTAGCTTTGTGGGAGCCTAGGCTGGACCTTCCTCTGGAGCCCTTTCCAGAATGGCTTTGGGATCCCCCCACCAAAGACCTGGTTGGGAGGCAGGGGGAGAGGCACTCTCTGGCCAAGAGCTTCCAGGACCCGTCCCTGGCTGCTGCTGTGGTCTAGCCCGCTGATGGCATGGTGTGGTAGCACCGGACAGCTCCCCACCCACCCAGCGCCCTGAGCCCAGGGACTAATGGGGAGGAAACAGGACTCTGAGAAGGAGCAATAGCAGTGAGGCAGACCTCAGCCCCTGGGCCTGTCTCTGGGCCAGGCAAAGCATTGCTGAAGGCCCTGGGACTTCTCCAGCTGTCTCCAGCAGCTGCCCGGAGTTTTCTCGGCCTTGGGCAGGTGCTGCCCATCTGGGCTGGAGCACAGCTATGTCCAGCAGCTCAGCTTTGATGTCCAAGACCCCGAACTCCCGCCTGCCTGGCATGGTTCTTCCTAGTCACATGGACCAGATCGTGTTCCAAGTGAAGGATGTGACTCTGTACGCGGTCATCAATGGGAAAGGAGGTCAGGTACCTCTTGACCATGGCAAAATAAGCCATGGCCTCCCCAAAGCTGGGCACAGGGACCTCATCACCATCCTCCTCATCATCGTCATCTTCTTCATCTTCCTCATCCTCCTCTTCATCTTCCTCCTCTTCATCACTGTCTGAGTCAGAGTCCTCCCCACCTTCCAGGAAATGGAGGGTTGGGCACTGGGCCTCTTCCTGGACACTGTAACCCCCAAAACCACCACTGGCCTCCACCACTCCCTGTGCCCAGTCTTCAGCCTCTAAGCCCTCAGAGGAGCTTTCTTCCTCCTCCTCCTCCTCCTCCTCCTCCTCATCATCATCACTGTCATCAGCCTCACCCTCCTCTTCTACCTCCTCTTCCTCTCCCACCTCCTCGCCTTCCCCTCCTTCCTCCTCCCCTTCTTCCTCTTCTTCCTCCTCCTCTTCCCCTTCACCCTCCTCCTCTTCTTCCTCCTCCTCCTCCTCCTCTTCTTCCTCCTCCTCTTCCTCTCCCTCACTCTTGAAGGAAGCGGTGATAGTGGCATTAAGGCCACCTCCAAAACCGGCCTCGCGAAAGCAAGTTGCAATGTCCGAGGGCTCCACTGCCTGCCAGGCCGCAGCCACAAAGTGTAGGGCCTCCACTAGGCCCAGCTGCAAGCCCGAGGGATCCTGGCTCTCGAGTGCTGCCATGGCCTTGAGCAACATAGCCTGGCGGTAGTGGCCCTTCACCTGTTGGACCACTCCTCGCTCCAATGGATGCACAGTGCCGGGAGGGAAGAAGGCCAGCTGCACGTGCCGCAGACCCGAGGTGTCCAAGGACTGGGCAGCCAGACGGCCCGCAAGCAGAAGGACCCGACGGGATTCTGCTGCCATTCGGGTGTCCAGAGCTTTCAAGTACTTAGCCAGGGCCTGGGTGGTGACTCCACCCTTAGAGTTGGCAGTGTAGTCGCAGGGCAGACCACCCTGGCTTGCACGGGGCTTGGCGGACTTGCCTGCGACCAGCGGGGGAAGCTTCTCACTGCCATCGGCGTTGGCGCACAGCAAAACACTAAGGCGCTGGGTGGCCTGACGAGCCGTTCCATCACCTCCCCACAGCCCCGAGGCCTGGTCGGACAGAAAGTCGTACCACAGACTGGTCTCGGTGGCGCTGAACACGTCCTGCGAGGCGTACCCCTCAGCCACCGACGGCGGCTGCTCCTCCCGCGTGCGCCAGCCTGGTGTACTGCCACCGCTGCCCTCGGAGGGCACCGCGGCTGGGCCGGCAGGTGCCGCTGGGGCCCGTGGGGTAGAGCTTCGCGCCCGGGAGCGGGTCACGCCGCTGCAGGCCACTACACCGTGGCGCCGGCGGAAGCGATCCAGCCAGCCATTGGAAGCCGTGAAGTCGTCCATGCCCAGCTCCTCCGCTATCCGTAGCGCCTTCTCTTTCAGGATGATGCCCTTGACCGGCAGGCCCGCGGCGCGGATCTGCTGGAACCAAGCGATGAGAAGCCCCTCCAGCTTGTCGTACGGGGACAGCTTGTTGGTCTTACGGCAGGTGGAGGCCACTCCGTACTTGCGCTCCGACGCCAGGATGGCGCGCTTGTTCTTCAGGATGGTGCTCAGCGTGGACGGCGGGATGTTGAAGCGCCGCGCGATCTCGCCCTTGCGTAGGTCCGGGTTCTCCTCCACCTCCTGGATGATCCGCGACTTCTCCCGGAACGTCAGCTGCCGCCGCTTGGGGCCCATCGCGGCGCGCCCTCCGCCCCGGGGCCCGGCACCGCCGTCGCCGCCCCGGGGCGGGGGGCCCGGGCCCGCGGCGGGGGGCACCTGGCGGCCTCTCCGCGCGCCCCGCCCGAGACAAAGCGGCTCGCGGGGCGGCGGCGGGCGGTGGCAAGCGGCGCGGGCGGCGCAGGCGGCAGGACGTGCCCAGCGGGGAGCGCGGCGCGGCGCGGGGCGGAGCGCGCGCGGGATCTCGCGGGAAGCGCGGGGACGCTGGGCGCCGCCTCCCCTACCCCGCGCCACTGCCTGGACCCGCCGCCGGGGGCGCTGAGATCCCGGACCGTGCGCCTCGGCCACGCGCGGGAAAGGTCATCTGCGGACACAAAACGCACTGACACCTGAACAGATGTACAAGGACGTTTTGATGCTCTCGCTTCTTCTCTTTCCTACAGACTCAGCCAGCCGGCGTCAGGCTGCTTAAACTGCATTTTAACTGACTGGCGTCAAGCGATTAGGATTTTCACTTTGTGTAAATACCACTGCCATGCTTCTTTTTAAATAACTGTCTTTATGCATGTGTATATATGCCTGTGTGTATATATACCTGCATGCAGATGCCCGAGCGGGACAGAAGAGGGCGTCGGACTAGAGTGGGATTGCAGGTGGTTGTGAGTTGCAATGTGGGTGCTGGGACCCAAACTGATTATCCGACAGAACAGCCAGTGTGTCTTAAGTGCTGGGCCTTACCCCCAGACACCAGTACTTTAATGGTGTGTACTGTTCCAAATGTGAGAAAGTTAATCTATGGTTACATGTTTAGTTTATTGTAAAGACAACATGGCATTTAAATCTATTCGATGGTGCTAAAGACATTTTTAGTAATCCACAATCCAAAAACACCAATAATATCTGGGTATCACTTTTTTTCTATGCATGTAGTCATAAATTCAACTACAGAAATATGTATGTACATGTGCATGTGTACAAATAAATCTTAAAACTTCTTCTGGTGGTGGTAGCACACACCTTTAATCCCATCACTTGGGAGGCAGAGGCAGGCGGATCTCTGTGAATTTGAGGTCAGCCTGGTCTACAGAGCGAGTTCTAGGATAGACTCCAAAGCTACACAGAGAAACCCTGTTTTGAAAAAAGCAAACAAAAAAATGAAACAAACAAACAAAAAAAACTTCCTGCAGCACCAAACACTCGAAAGTGATAAGCCCTTAAGATAGTGTGGGCATTGTAGTCTTTGCCTGTTTGTTTATTTCTGAGCAGAGTCTCACTATGCAGCTTTGGCTGGCTTGGAACTCTGTGCAGACCATGTTGGTCTTGAACTCGTGGAGATTCACCTGCCTTTGCCTCCTCAATGCTGGGATTAGAGGCATGTTCCACCATGCCAGACAACCCAAGAAACATATGGGTGGGCAGACCTACAAAAACAAAAAACAAAATGAAAAAGCCATTGAGCTCATTTTGTGTTAGTCAACTATTCCTAGGCTTGGGGTTTGTGCTGGAGTTTGGTTGGTATATTCAGTGATACTCCACCAAAGAAAACCGATTTTCCCTTTGCCAGTGGTATCAATTACAAATAGCTTCTTGCTTCAGGTTAGACCTGGTCTGGCTTGAATTTGTGCAGGCCCTGTGCATACTGCTATAGCCTATGTGCGTTCATATGTGCGTTAATTCTGTTGTGTTGAGTTCATATGTGCATTAATCCTGTTGTGTGGAAGACGCTGTTTCCTTGGAATCACCTATCACCTCTGGCTCTTAAAATCGCTTCACCTCCTCTTCTGCACAGGTCCCTGAGCCCTTGGTAAGACATGATGAGTTTAGTTACCATGTTTTTAAAAGTCTTGAAGATTGACAGGCAGGGGTGGCACACGCCTTTAATCCCAGCACTCAGGAGGCAGAGGCAGGCGGATCTCTGTGAGTTTGAGGCCGGGCTGGACCGATAGCCTCCGAAACAATACAGAGAAACCCTGTCTCATAAAAACCAAAAAAAAAAAAAAAAAAAAACCAAAGTCAGAAATCAGGTCAGTGTGGTGTTCTGCAAGGCCAGAACACACAGTGTAACTCTGTGATCTTTTGATACACATTTCTCCTTCCTTGTGTATATTGGATCCTGAGATTCTCAGCCTTTGCCCAGATTTCTCACTCTGGTCTCTTCCCCTCTTTCTGTCAGTAAGGATAAAATTTAGGGCCTCTTGCATGCCAATCACATGCCCCACCCCCAACCATTATTTTCCTGATGTTTAAAAAATCTACAAGT